TTAAGAATTACATGAACATAAATTGTTTTAATTATATATATATATATCGATCAATGTAGGGTTGCAAATAGAGAACCCAGAAAACACAAATTTATTCTCTTTGTAGCTTGAATTTCTGACCGGGTTTGTATTCAGCATCCTGTTGGAGGCCGGTCACAGACCGGTTAGGGATGGTTAGTTACAGACTCCAACTTGGGAGTATGCTGAAGAGAATACACTCCGATAAAATACTGAACGACAACTAAGATATTACAGTAATCAAATGATCAATATGTCTGAAAAAAAGCACAATAAATAATTTATGAATTGAGGATAACATCATGTAAAATTCTTCCGGGAATTAATTTTTTTTTAAAGAAGTTCAATTTGGAAGACCGTCGCATGATTTTATGTATCAGGATATCTGAATTTTTTCTTGATGATTTAACAGTATGACATTTAAATCACATATAACCTGTGCTAATAAATCTGAGGTCTTATACTCTCAAATATTCTTATAAAAATAAATCAAGTAGTGTAATATTCTCAATGTATTAAATGAAACTATTTTACTATTAGAAAGCATACCAAAAAAACAGAGTTTTTAAATATTCTTACCGACTTAATCAATAAATGAACCCTAAATATTTATTGCAGACAGTGATTAATGCCAATTAATAGCAATTTGGTCAAACCTGGCTTTGTTTTTCCAAGTTTATGTACACCCTAAAGTCAATTTATTTCATTTAAATGTCCATCTTTATAAATAAAAAAGTTTACCAACTCAACAAGAAGGGATTCTACAACCAAATGTCAAATTTGAATTCTCCCTTATTATATTTCAAATTTGCTTATATTTTTATATGCTCTTTGACCCATGTTATCGATATAATTCAATTCAATCGATTAAATTTTTTTTCACACTCTAGAATCCCTGAGTGACACATAAACTTGCTAATCTCCATTCTAAATTAGTCAGCAGATTTTTAACTTCCAGAAAATTCATTTTCTTATTTTGGTGTATTTTAAAAGCAGTATTTTACGTAATTTACAGAATGACTTGGTATTAAAACAATCAAGGATAAGGCTAATATATTTATAAAAGATGAGTACCAGTTCCTTCGACAACCATTCAGGGAATATATTGTCATTCCTCGAAAGATCTGTAACCTTTTCTTTCTTTTCAATTTGGCCTTATCCCTGACTTTTCAAATACAAAATTATAATCTTAAAGGCTGATAATATGATAATAATACATATCTAGATAATTTATATTATAACTAGAAATATATCTAACTTGTTGATCAATGTTAAACAGCAACAAATCAAAATTCAAAAGATTATATATTGTTACAATAGATTAAAAAAAAGTATCAGTTATTGTATTGATATTGAATATTTATGCAAGGTTTTATGTTGGAAAAGATTTATCAACATTACTTACGAGTGGCTTTCACAGTTTTTAAATGAAAACTAAACCTTTTTTATTTTATTCTACCTGATAGGCACTAACTTTTTTAAAAAACAAATCAAAACCGAAACAAATCAGATTCGCTAGGGTCTTGATTCATGCCATTAGAAAGTGAAGGCCTTGGGTAAATTGTAAAAAGATCTTTCTTAATTTTGCCCCCGAGTCACTATTTCGAGTGAATAAATCCAAATACGCATACATTTTGCATTTTGTGTTTTGAAATAGATTTATAAGCCAATCTGTCAAACTTGAGTGTGAAAACATAACCCTTTTCTCTTCCTGGTTGGTGCGATTAGTCGATAAAGACGGCTTGGAAAGATTGACAGCATGACACGATCAACAATACACACAGGGCGAAGAAATAAAACGAAGCCCGGCCTTTTCAGTTGTCAGTCAATAAAGCCAGTGGGTGGCTGAAAGTCAAGATCAGGGCCGACAATACAAGTTATCAAGTTGACACAATTCACAATATTAAAAATGAGATTGCTGATAATAAAAACCAATCAATAGTGATAAACCTTTTATAACTTGCTCTTCATTACTTTTAATATTTTTGAGGTTCATTATTTTTTTAAAATAATATTATTATATTTTATTCATTCTTCAATCCAAAATATGGTAGATGTATTTTCTATATAGTTTTATTTACTTAACAAGCAGGATTTTAAGAGAATATTTGATCTTTTCAAATCATTCTCTTTTAAAAGTCTATTTAATTACTAAAGTTAATATAATTTTTGATTAATAAATATTACTCATACGAACTGATATTTGTTTAGAGAAGTTTTCTTTGGACTTTTTTTTAAATAGCATTACTGTTGATAAATTGTTCAAATCGATCACAAAATCATAGTTGTTAAATGTTATTTTATTACTAATTGAATAATTGGTATGATTTTATTAATTTAATCGATACAAATGATGTTTTGTAAAAAAAAAACTTAATTTGATATTATATGCAATTGATTAGAAATAAAACTTACGACATCGACAATTGTTTTGCCCAGAGTGACAACCCCGTCCATGATGAAAAGAGTCTTCGAATCACAACTTCTCAATCACAAAATCATACCAAACTGTCAATACGCACTTTTCAAATCACTTTTGAAGGTAAAAAAACAAAATGAGAAGTTTCTCAATCCACAATTGTAGTGAGAGGACAGATAATTGTAGGCATGTTTCGACCTTCACCTAGCAAATTTGATGTTCACCAGTCCAATAATAACCGTTCCGGGATGTCAACTGGCATTATAAAAGGGGGAGGAAAAGAAAAAAAAAAGGCAAAGAGGATAATATGGTTACAATGTCATAAAAGCGAGACAGTGAGGAATTCTACACTGGGGAAGGAAACTGGTCTGACAACTTGCACCAAACTAAGAGGCTGCCTTCCAATTATCATATGCCTGTACTACAACACTCTCTACTACACAAGACCTCTTACAACATCCAAGCCCCCACACTGGCCCAATTTTAAGTCCTGCCTCTTTTTTTTTCTTTTTTTTTTTCAAGTGAATATTTTAATTCACATTTTAAGAATCCTGGTAATAATGGAAGGGGAAAATACCGAGATCAACCTTTCACTTTGACTTGTGGACATATTGAAACATAGGTTCTAAAGCAATTAGTCCATATAAGGTTGAATGTACCGCATTTACAAGGCAAAAGTTTTTCACTTTATGGTTTCCAGTAGTTTTACAAAGCAAAGAGTCAAATTTTATATATTTAGTATAAACAAAAAAATTAGAATTATTATTTCTAAAAATTTTGGAATTCAAGTTTCAAAACTACTATTTTTTAAAATTACTTTTGTATGAAGCAATTAAAAGTTTAAGGATACTAAATTGTTAATAATTTCTTTGTTTTCAGCATTATTAAGAAAAACAATTTATTGTGTTTCTTGTGTTTCTTTTCAGGAACTAGACAACCATCAAACTCATTTTCTTTTTATTGATATCGATTTCAAGTCCTTCAGCCTCCCTTCATCAGTTGCTTTATTTTTGGAAATGCACGAGATTGATGAGGGAAGGCTGATGCCCCCAAAATCAATATCAATAAAAAGAAAATGAGTTTGATGGTTGTCTAGTTCCTGAAAAGAAACCTAAGAAATATAAAAAGTTCACAACCGAAAAAGAAGAGTAAAAAATATACATTTGTTGTATTGCTTTTAAGCTAAACTACAACTGAAATTTTGGTCTTTAAAACAACACAATAAAGATTATCATCAATAAAAAACACGTAGGAAAAAAGAAAAAGAAGACCTAAATTACAAGACTTAAATAAAATGTTGTTAATAAAAATAAAATAGACAAATTATTTTTAAAAAAATGCTGGTTTATAAAGTAAATATGTCTTTATAAGTCAAAAATACTAAATAAAATTTTCTTAATGTGTTTTATTAAGTATAAACACATGTGTGTAAATTTTGCTGATTAAAAACCCAAAATTAATAAATAAATTCTATTGTGCAATTTAGAACTTACCAAATAATTAACTCTCAGAATAACTACGATTATTTGACAGTGGGAGAGAAACCCCATCTAGTTAAATATAACTGTGGCCGAACGGTTCAAAACCCACTATAAATGTGTTCCATCATTTAAAATAGCATTATTCTTGCCGTTGTTTTTCATACGTATATGAAAATCGCCGTTTACAATGTCGTGCGTAACAGTACTACTGTTTGCTAGTTAAATTTTTTTGACCAGCAGTGTGTGTGAAAATTCAAAGCTACAATTAATAAGATTGATACTAAGTTAAGTGAAGAAGATATGGAGATGGAAAAAGTTTTTTTTTTTTAATCAGTTAAATATAGTTCAGAAAGGTAGAAATTAAGAAAATTATATTGCCTTTTTTTAAATTATATTTTTACTTTATTGTTAAATTTTATTTCTAATTAAAAAACTGAAATTTAATTAATTTTTCTTGTAGTTTTAATTTTTTTTTTGCAAAAAAAAGCAAGATAACTTTCATAAATAGATAGAGAATCTGTTTGTAGTATAAACAGGACAGACACATCTAAAGCAACAGTGAAACTAATTTAAACATTCAACTACATTTGAAATAGGTGCAAATTGGCTATTATATAGAATTAAATTTATAAAACTATGTGCTGAGACAACATGATCCTAATCTATGCCCAGTTTTTCATTGGACACTATCTATGGGGTCTACAACACTCACACCACTACAAAACACCTCCTCGTTTATCTCTTTTTAAGAATTTACTCACTAGAGAAAAATATAACAACTAATCGAATTTAAAGAGAAAGGAGGAGAGTGCTTGCAGGGGAAATTAGGCACCTCGTTATCGGCTTGAGAATCGGTCGAAGGGAAAGTCGCTTGGGTCTTCACTAATGTGGAGAACTTGGCGTATCTCGCCTTCAGCACCTGTTTACACATCCCCTTTCTTCAATACCCAAATACAAGCATAAATGTTATAAAAATATTTAATGGTTCTCTCGTGTGTTTGTCAGTAATAAACAAGATGCTCTTTGTGTCTAGGAAAAGAAGTTTGTGTTTTAAAATAGTTATTTGCATGTGCGACGCTTACCTCCCAGCTTTCTTTGGTGAGGTTCGCCAAATCGGCATCGCTCGCTCGACGCTCTCCTCCGTTGGTATCATCAGGCTCGAATAACTCGGTGTCTGAGTCAACAAGCTCGAAACCCCTGGCCGCAACCTCTTCCTCGTCCAGTTCGCCATACAAATGCCCTGCCCATGTTGTCAAGAACTTGTACAGCTCATCAACTCTAAATTACGGATCAAATCGTAATTTTTTTTCAAAAATTATTAATTACAAATATTAAAGAACTTCTTACTTCTCTCTTGGTACGCTGAACCAGTACTCAGGCCTCATGCGTTTCTTCCCGTAGGACATTATCGCTGAACTCTTCGGGATTTTTTTGTCCTTTGGCTTTCCCATCCTCAGTCTCAAGTATAATGGAGGATCCTCACAAGACCTAGCCGGCCTCGGAATCAATTCTAGAAACAAACAATTTTACTGTGTACTAACGAATCGACCGGGTTTCATCCATACTTCATTGAATGCAATGTATCAAAGAAACAGGCAGAGTTTCGGGGGAAAAAATAAAAAAACATCTGAGGCGATGCAGAGTTGATGCATGTGTCATTCAAAATTGTCTGAGTAGAGAAATGGAGTGCTAAAAAAAGCTATCTTTATGTAACTATTACAGAAAACATGCAACATAAACGGGAGAAACACTCTACTAGTGTATTATTGTTGAAGTAGTGACATTTTGTAAAACCAAAAAAAATTTCTTAATCTCATCCCATTCATCAGTGCAATCACATTCTGCAAATCTTTCAGACAAACCTTTTGTTAAAATTAAAAGATAGAGGGTACAAGACTTGAACACCCATGAAAAATTGAATTAAATGAAGTAAAACAAAGCCCAAATACAGTGTGAAACGTGGACTTTTTGTTTTCAATATTCAACTGTAGTCTGTTTACTGTATCATGTAAGTACAATCACAGCTATATAACAATAATAATATTTTATTATGGGACATTTGTAAATTAGTTCTCCAGTGGCAAAACTTCTTGTGTTGTGCTTTACTCATTATTGCAGAGATGTTTACCGTAAGTGCCAGGAGGTATTGGACTAAATATGAATAGGGGTTGAGTGATAAGAAATTTTCTGTAAATATATCGTGTATTCTACTATTTTGGATATAAAATGGATAATTTGGAAAGAAAAGATCGCAACCCTATCTGGTCGGGCCTTGAGCTTTGCAACTCTGCAATTGTCTTGCATATTATCATTTTGTTCTCCTTGTTCAATTTTAATCGTTGTTGCGTTAATAAACCAACTGGCTGTGAGATTAAGGAGGCAGTATGAGAATTGTGCTTCAGTACAGCAGCGAGTATTTGGGTCCTGTTCCGATTTTTGGAAGAAACAAGGTTGTTTGATTGTATACAAATACATAATATTATTGTATATGTACCTGTTTTTGTTCCATTTCGTGTATATGTCACAGGTCTGATGATAAAATATTGAGTACCCATGACCCTCAATTTATATGATATATGTACAGGGTGATGAAGAAATAAAGGACTACTCCACCAACCCAATTGAGTGAGTGGTAAATAATAAAGAATGCATTTAATGAGTGAGAGTTTTATTAAAAAATGCAGTAGTAGTTGATTGGCCCTGTAGCCTAAGTTAAATAATGAGATGGATAAAACCAAGGTCTGATCCCAGACTGCCAAAACCTTGTCAGAAGTCATAAGCTCAATTCTGTACATATGTATGTACATTAAATAAATTAATGAATTAATGAGACAATGTTGAGATGTAGTTTATTATCAAATGTTATCCAAGTACATAAAAATAAGTTAAACGAGAGGTTTACTTCTTATTTTTTCAGTCCTCTAGATTATTTTTCAGTATGTAGTGCCTAAAGTACCGCTATTAATCCATAAAATACACTAATTTCCTCATGGGTTCATAACAGTACAGGAACTTAACTTTACATGTTTTTATTGTCATATATTTTAATTCTAAGTTCAATTCATAGAAATTTTTCACTGGAGAAAGTAGTGTGAATTGTGTACAGCGAAAAAGTCTGGGCCAAGGATGCTCCCTTGAGCTGGCTTAATAGAGACTTGAGAAGTAATTCAATCAATAATGGACTCGGTTCTTGGAAGTTCTTGAGCTCAACAAGTCTCAGATGCATAAAAAACAAATTTTCGATGCTTAAGTCAAAAAACTAATAATTTATTTGTTACATTTATAGTAAAAATATATTATTATTTTTATATGTTTCATTATAAGTGGATATTAACGTGAACATGTACGCCTTAACTTTGTTCCTCATTCAAGATCAAGGTTAACATTTGCACACTAATTTTGAATAATAAAGTGAGTAAAAGGTCAGAAGCTATAACTGGTTCTTAACAGGTCTTTTTCAAAACAACTCAAAGCAAAAGATCACAAATATTTTATAACATACACTTTTGTTTGAAACACAAAGAAAATAAATGAAAAGATTCAAAAGTGATTTTTTTTTTATTGTGCCTTTGAGACAAGACAAAGGTAAGGAGTAAAAAGAATTTGAGAAAACAAAAGGTTTAAAGAGTGGAAAAAGTATTGCTACATTGAAGGGAAGCGAAGAAAACAGTAAGACATGAAAGCACAAAAGGGAGAAAATAAAACAGTTGCGTTTCCACCAAGGCAGCATGCTTTTTTTAAGTGTTATTTCTTGATTTCATTTTTTCTTTTCAAACATACCCAGGTCTTCGAGTTGCGGGAATAGTGGTGCATGAACTACGTCACCGTAAGGCAAATACAACAAACAAAACACGACCTTCGTTAGTCTCACCTAATTATTTTCATATAGTAACTGTATTTACTCTCTTTTCTTTTTACAAACAAATACGGTTTCGCTTCACCTCCCATCTCAGCTAATGGGACAAATATTTGGCATAAGTTACAGGAGTGACTTTTAAAAATAAAATGCATTGTAAAAATGGAGAGTTGGAGGTGGTGGTGTTCAAGGTTCACTGGTGGTGAACTTTAAAGTGCTTCCAGTTAGAAACAAAAGAAGACATGAGTTTATTTAGTGATAGATATACTAGGAAAAGTACTACTGTTCAAAAAAAATTTAAATCATGCAGAAATTTATTTTGAATTAATTTAAAACTTTTTTCATGAAAAAAATCAGTATATATTTTAAATAGAAAGTAAACTATTATTCATTCCTTCTTGAAAATCTATAGACAGCAAACTAAAATTGTCAATCTCAGAGTCTAAAAAAAGCAGTTTAAATTGTTAATACTTAAGAAATAAAGTAAAATCAAACAATTAAAAATGCAAATAAATTAAGAACAAGCAGGGTAATGAGCTTAATATTTTATAGTGACAAATATTCCAAACAATTTGCAAAGCATAATTAAACAAGTACGACACTGATCAATAAGCATTATTTCACTTAAGCTGTGCTTTAGAATTAAGTATACAAATTTTTGACTTAAAACTTGATAATTTGGCGATTGACAAAGGGGAAAGGAAAATTTTGAATATTTATTTCTGCCTCTTTCATCTGAGATTGCCAATTTTGTTGAAATTGAAAAAAGAAAGAGTTCTCTTATAAATTAGATAGTAGGTGGATTTTTCTCAGAGGGCAAAATAATTAATAATACCGATACTATTTGACTAAGGGTAGGCATGTACTTGCTTGACTATTTTGTTCCTCCTGTGAAGATTATGCAATATCAGTGTAGAGAACATGACTGCAGGGGAACTTTTTAGTTAGGGCAAATTCTCTCTACCCGTCGTTTAAATAGTAAGTGTGTAGATGGACAACGTTTTTAGATGCTGAGTTTCATCTCTCTCTTTTGAGACTATTTTGTCCTTGATTATTATACACAAGTTTATAAAAATTGAGTAGCGAGGGATGAGAACATGGACGATGCAATATAAATACCCAAAGTGGAAATGTGTCTAGTATTATATCCAAAACTTTAAATATGTATTCAATTGTTAATCTAAAAAAATTGTTATGGAGAGAAGAAAGTATTTCTGACTATCTGGGAACAATTAATGAAGAAAGATTTTGGTTTTACCATGGGACAGGCCATTGAGGTAAAGTATTTTGCAAAATAGTTCAAGCAAAATTCTGCAGAGCACTTATCACAGAATTTGAGGCTAACATCAAGAGAACTAAGGAAAATCCACCACTCGATTGCAAATATGCTAAAAGTGCATTTAACCATGCAAGTTGTCATGTGCCTGTAGTTACAAATTTTCTTAGTCCCGTTACAGTATGGCCACTCTATTAAAGCAATTATTACACCTAAAGAGGTTCTTGAAGAGGTACCAAAGAAAGCGCTGAGGCTTATAAGAAAAAGAGCACTTTCATAGTAATGGATCTTTATAGGTCACATTGGAGGAATTTAAAATCCTTATCCAATACCCCCAAAAATCTAAAAAGAAAGATACATATCTCCAGTAGGACAAGGCGCTAGACAAAGTCATGCTAAAACAATCCTCACCAAGACTGGCAAATTCACTGCTGCAATTGGAGAGGGCCAGACTCAGAGGAGTGTTAGGACCACCAACCGGTCACTGGCATCTGAGCAAACATCTACACAACATGGGCATATTCAAAGTTAACCCCATTTGATTATGGAATAAGGAGGAGGGGGCGTCGGTGGCCGCAACGGTTTAGGCGTTGACATGGCACTCATCACTGTAAGGTGGTCCTGGGTTCGAATCCAGCATCCCTGCATTCAAACCCGACACTTACAAATGGGCTTTTTTCAAAAACACCGGCACCTTGAGGGTTTATGTGACCTCTGATGTTGTGAACCCTCATAAAGAAAAAAAATAAGGAGGAAGAAACAGAAATGTGAAGTAACTGTTCGATGGTAATAAAAATAGAAACATATGCTGTTGCCAACAAATCCATTTTTAATAATTAGTTGATTTGCTCAAAACTATAAATTTGTCACCCCTGTTCAAGAAACAGTTGCTTAGCGAGAATCATTGAAGCCAAATAAACAGGAGAGTGACAGAGAGAAAATGGTCACAGAGCAAAAAGTGGCTTGTGCCTGCCCTAAAAGTGTGAAATGTTAGTTTTCAAACTTTATTTGTAAATTTCAATCTGAGATGTTATAACCCAATTATACTTAAAATCTTTTGATCTTCAACATACAGTTTGATCAGAAGATAAAAATTCTCAACAAGGTATCCCTTTTGTAGAAGGATGATATTAATTTGGCTTTGATCCTCATCTTTGCCAGTCAGATCAAATACAGGCACGATTACAAAAATTTCAATTACTCATCTTTGTGAAATAATCTAGCCATAAATTTATACTATTTAAGGTAGAACCAAATAATTGAAAATGATCTAATTCCAACTTTCATTTTAAACATTAGAATAGACACAACATTGATGTTTTTGACCAGCAAATTGCAAATTTAAGAAGAAGAAAAATAACTTTATTCTGGGACTGGTGTCCCCTAAGAATAATTTACATGAAAAAATAATTTAAAAAAAAAATAATTTACATGAAACCATCCCCTAACCATCCCCAAATTTAGGATGAGTAGTGCAATTGCCAAGCTTTCACCCTATATTTGACCTAAATCAGGACTATAAAATAATGTTGATTTATAAATTACAACAAGGACAATTATTAGCCCGAGCATGAAAGAATTTGTATGCCTTCTTTACTTTCGGAGGTGTAATTTTATTGTCACCAAAATACGTACAAATACTCTTAATCCATTGATTAAAGATTGTCCTTATTGTAACTTAGAAATCAATTAATTAAGGTTTTTAGTTGAGATAAAAAAGCTGCTCTACCAATTGAACTATTGTGACTTCGATCTTCTCGGACACCAACTCTCCATCTCAACCTACAACCATTCGAATTTTCCCTCTTTTTGCCATTTTCAAATGTTGTTTAATCTATTTGATTTTCGGCGACAAATGAAATGGCCATGGAGAGCTTTAGGATACTTCATTTCAACTTATTAAATTCACTAGTTTTTGTGGTCCGCTTGACCAATTAATATCTTTCAATTAATTAAGGTTTTTAGTTGGGATAAGCTTGAAGTCACAATAGCTCAAGTGGTTGAGTAGCGGCGTATCTAGCCGAAAGTTGTGTGTTCGAATCCTGCACGTGCCAATGACTTTTTTATCTCAACTAAAAACCTTAATTAATTGAAATATATTAATTGGTCAAGCAGACCTCGAAAACTAGTGAATTTAGAAATCAATCTTAGTCCTGAGGCTCCAATATATGCTGAAAGCTTGGCAATTGTTAAATATTCACTGCTGACTGACCACGGCCCTGATATCCCCAGCCTAAAATAGACACAAGAAGATTTTTTTAATATAAAGTTTAATCGTAAAAATTAGGTTTATTTTTGGATAATCTGAGAAAAATCGCATCCTCATTAAAATTGTGATATTAAAAATTACCAGAAGCACAATAAATAAAAAAATACTAATACGTATGAACCGAAATGTAATTACAGGCTTCTATACTACATTCTAGTGTCTAAATCTAACATTTAAACACACTACACAGCCAGTGCTGATGTTTATGTGTAAGTCGTTTACAATTTCACGTGTCCATGAAATGTAAATAATTCTGTTTTTTATCAAAAAAGTTTGTCATATATGATTGTATAAGACGTATAATTGAAGATAAGACAGGGAAAGAATAGAATTGACCAATGGAATTGTTCTGATGATTTTTTAAGACTAACGAGAAGGAAAAATTAACGAATACACTGTTAAATACTCACTATCGAAAGATACAAAAAGTTCGGGCATGTCTTCAACCGAAACCATGCTTCGGTAATCCAATTTTGGCTTCATGTATGTCCCAACTGAGGATCGCCTAAAAACATTTAGAAATCGATTAAAAAACAATAATACATTGATTTATAAATAAATCTTTACTTCCTGGAACAGCATTAAAAAGGAAAGATTTTTATTACATATTGCCTAGACTAAAAAAACACCAATGCTAAAGATCTACTTAACATAAAAACCACAATAATTAAAAAAATAATGTAATAAAAAAAGGCATGCAACATTTTTGACAACCATAGGTGCTAGAACATAATTAGAAACACTGGCATGTACCAAAATAATATACATTTTTAATTTGTGCTCCTCTGATGTCCCACTAATTTAAAACTGGGAGGCAGTGGTTTCTGTGCTAATGGAATATCACATTTATAAGCAGACATAAAGCTTTTTAGATCATCTTTGCTGTTTTGTTCAAGTTCAAATCAAAATCCTTAGCGGAAGCAAATTAAATAAAAAAATGAAAACAAAATTATTTGAAAATACAGTTTTTGAGTAGCACAACATAAAACATCAGTATTATAAATGTAATGCAGGTCTTTTTAATGTCTCAGGGGCAGAATATTTCACACATTCCTGAGTATTCTAAACACAACATTTAAATAGGGAGATTGACGTATCGTGTGACTTACCCTACAGAGCTGATGATGTTGGATGGTGAGAAAGTTGGGGCGGAAGAAGGAGCAGAAATGGGCTGAGAATCGTTGGGCGGGAATTGGAACTTTCCACCATCTTCGCTCGGCGTCTTCATGAAAAGGCCGGATCCAAAATCCGTCACCATGTTAATCGGTGAACTGTCGAGTTTGTCAATTTTTTTTTCCAACAAAAACGTCGAAAAATGGTGGTTAAGTTTTTTGAGGATTTTGTTCAAGGAAGGAGGGCGAGATTGTTGCAATGTTAGCAGCATTGGGGAAAAAAGAAACAAAAGCAGAGAGTTATTTTATCTTCCATACCAATTAAATTTTTTAGAAACTATGATAAATTTGAAATCCATTATCATAAAGCAGCATCTTGATCAAAGTACATCTTAAAAAAAAAATTAAATGCATTCCAAAAGATTTTTTGTGTAAATATTTCATGTACGTGAGCAACTATTGCTAAATTGTTAACACTGTACTAACGCAGCATATAAGAAAAAAAAGACCGTCGTAAGTTGTTTGTTTTTCTGTTCTGCACTAGAAGCATTTGCTTGTACAAAAAAAGTTTAACATTGGTTTTCACACGAATAAAAAGGAATTGATTTGTAATTATTATTATTTCTTCTGACTTTTTCCTTTGGAAATATTGCCATATGAATTTTTTATTTATTCTTTTAGTAGATATTAGTCTTTAGCAGATGGTTCTTTTTATCTATTTATTGTTTTTCCTCCACTCGAGTGGAAGAAGGAAAGACAGGACTACGATGATGCGCCCACACTAGAGCCTAGGAGGTGATGGCTGCCACCTTTGTTATACTTTTCTCCGTCTTTTGTGATGGAATAGCATGCGCCACCTTCATCCAACTCTCTCATGATGGGGTTCACTCCAACCATTCTACCCTGATCAGAGCGGACCCAGAGCCCCTCCCCCAAAAAACCACCTCCGTCTGAGAGCCCACAGTTTTTATATTACCTTAAAAAGAAATGATCGAAAGAAATTTGTAAATTAACACAAAAACCGTCATGAACTTGCCAACAGAGTTTCAAGACTTATTGGGCCAAATATACTTGGGTCGCTATACAGATCATCCGATAGTTGTTTTCCCTGATTTTCATACTCCATGCATTCTAGTATAAGACTGGGATTTGATGGACTGTTGCATGTTTTTGTATAGGTTTTTTTCTTCTCCCCCTTTCGATAAGCACAAAACTAATATTGGGTTGTCCGGAAAATAATGCAGGATTTTAAGTTTTCNGGAAATTATTTTGATTAAAGAACATTGCTTTAAAGTAACTAGTTTCTTTTTTTTTGTTTAATACCAAAATCCTGCATTATTTTCCGGACAACCCAATAACATGGCTGCTACTTCTCTTTTTTGTATTTAAGACATCTCTCAGAACTGTCCATTGCATGTGTGTCAATGCTCTGAAGCAGACTTGTGAGAGTTGCCATGGAGAGTTGCTTTCCGAGAGTGAACTTGGGTAAATTTCACTCTCTCGTGCGAAGGGCTCTGAGAGTAACTCTGTAAACCTGCCAGTTCTGCGCACCTATAGGATGCACCAGATATAGTGGCCTCCTTTGCCAATGTATCTACAGTTTCAATATAATGAACACCCCCATGACCTTTAACCCAGCATATTATCACATTTTCTTCAGTTACTTTTAGCTCAAAGATATTTCTGTAAATATCTGTAATGATATAATTATTAAATTTACAGCTTGGGGTTACATTATCTATACTATCTACGGCGCTTCGACAGTTCATTAAGATGTAGAATTTAGTTTCATTTCTTCTTTTAATGCATTCAAGCGCTTTATCTATGGCAGTCGATTCTGCTGTGTAGACAGTGAGTTTGGAAGAGTGTACTATTTTTTAAATTTTGTTTTTGTAATCAACAATGGTGCAACCTGGCCTAACATCCAAGAGTGACCAATCAATAAAAATTTGCAGGTGATCTGGACAGTTTACAGCTATGACCGTTATACATTCTGTCTGAATTAAGTGTTGAGAGGACTACAAGTAATTTTTTTGTGTCAATGTTGTTTCACTATAATCTAGCTGGTATGGTCGACACACCTTTATGTTCGAACTTTTTCTGTGAGAGTAACTATATTGTTAAAAATAGGGCTCTCGTGATTGACGAGCTAAGTGAGGAAATTCAAAGCCAATTTTAATCGCCTTAACTCCATGTGACACTCAAAACTTTCTACTGACAAAGCCATGGTTGGAGTATTTGGCAAACCACCAAGGATTCGCCTTAGGCAAACGTTATGAAAAATGTCAATATTTTTTCAAATAGGAGTGGTAGGCCTGTCTATAAAAAATTGACCCAAAATTGATCACTGATCTGATGAACAATTTATAATGCAGCATGGCTATGAACAGATCGGAACCCCATTTGTTACTTCAAAAACTTTTTAAAATGTTGTACAATTTTTCTCCTCTAGCTAACTAGATATTTTATATGAAGTTTCAAAGATAGTTTTTCATTCAGATGAGGACCCAGAAACTTGACACTATATTTTACCGGAAATTTAAGTTTCCTAATTTTTTAGTGGTTACATGATTCATTTGGTGCTTGATCAAGAATAGGGACTTTTCCTAAGATATCTCAAGACCATTTGCATCCATCCATTTTAATAAGTTATTTAACGATGACTTACATTTTTCTATAGTGTTTTCTGTTAAATATAAACTGTCATGATTTTTGCCTCATCTGTAACTACCATATCCAGGTTTGCTGCATATATCGAGTACAATAACGGGCTTAGAATATTGCCTTGGGGGAGACCCTTAAAAATTCGCTTGGAACTATAATAATAAAAAAAAATCTTCCCATCATTAAAGCCAAAATGTTTTGGACGAATACGTTTGGAAGGCCTAGTTTCATTAATTTATGGCATAAACTATGGTTATTGATGTTATCTTAGGCACCAATTATATCCAAAAATAGTCCCAAGTCAGTTTTTTCTGTGTAAATGCAAAATTTATAGCTACAATTAATTTAGCCTGAGCATCCAAAACAGACGGGTTCCTTTAAAATCTGTTCTGGCTATTTGGGAACCCTGAGAAGGTAGGCAGGCCAAGATGATCGCCAAGAATCAAATTAGGTTCATCACCCCACAGATCACAGGAGGAAATCGATAATTACTAAAGACTGTTAAATTATTTTATGCCTAATATAATAAAATTTATATTATTAAGAGATGTTATTTTCTCGCAAAAAGCTTCAAACTTCTCTTGATAATCAAAACATTTAATTATCTTCAAATAATTTTTAGACTATCAATATTTGTATTTGGTCTTTCACATATTTATACAGAGAAAAACAACTGTTTAATTATTTTGAGGTCATTTTTATTTATTTATTTATTTTTTTTAAAGTCGAGATTTTTGTGAACTTTTAATCCTATTTTCCATTAAATAAATATGAAGTAGAAAATGATATAATCAAGTTTTGTATAATTGTACAAAACGCATTTAATTGATGCTGCTTAATAAGCCGTAAAAATATACTGCAATTCTATTTTATTTACAAAATTTATTTTGCTTTTAAAAAAATGCCTACAAAAATATTTAAGCTTAATTAAAGAAAAAATTAAGGATGTAGATCAATAATAATAAACTGACCTTGAGAAAACTTTAGATATGCTGAAAACCGAAGAAGGCGTGTGTGATGGGTGTGAGTCGGCTGAGGACGGCAGGGAATCCTTTTCATCACTGCCGGTAAAACCTTCCACCCAGGAAAGAGGATAAGACAGTCTTTTAAGCATCTGAAAATAGAATAGTTTACAATAAAAGCATTTACGCGTATGCCGTTTTTCATACCTTGCTCTTTTTAGGTTCTTGCTTTTCCTCATCCTTTTTCGCCTCTTCTTCTATACTAAATGATACTGATTGTTTCTTCTTGTCGTCCTCGACGTTCGACTCGAGCGGCTGCACCAGTTTTGGAGGCAGAAACTCACCGTCTCCTGCAAGTAGGATGTCAGCGTCCGAGTAAACCGTTTTCCTCTGCACTGGGGCTGAAGGTGGAGGGTCTCTTATATCTATCCCTGAGTCATGACACGACAACTTAACTAAATGACCTTCACTACCTCTTCTGCCCTCATCGGCTAAACCTCCTAAAACACGCGATGATTAAAGCAAATGAGGTAGTGAATTTGGTACAGCTTTATTACCTGGTTCGTTTCCAGCTTCGTGTTCCACTTCTTGGAGCGATTCCTCTCTTTCTAATGAGTTATCTATCGAATGTTTAGGAACTGCCCAATGGTGGTCTAAACATGACTTTCTTCTTTCCTCGGTTGCCCTGATTAAAGCTTCGGCATCGACTCTATCATCTTCAATCGGACTCTTATCTTCAGCTGTTGTATCCTGATTATCACTCTTAAATTTTAACAGTATTGTCAAAGATATGAATTTCAAATCAATAATATATTAATATACTTACAAGCTTATCAATCGTACTATTAGTCGGTGTGACTAGGTCTCGCTCAAATGCCTTTGGGAAAGCATCTCCATCTCTTTGAGCACCACTGTACCAGCAAGTATCATCTTCTTCAGTCGATGATCTTTAAAAAATTAATTTAAAAAAAAATTAAAAGGATAGTAAAACAACATTTATAAATATACCTAAGATCTGGCAGGGTTTCTTTTGCAGAAAGATCTCTACTGTCACCCTGATTGGTCGAGAGGAGGCAACTGACATCACCCTCACCTTCGGACTCTTCACTCTTCATGTGGTAAACCTCAGGTTTGGGTACATTTCTAGAATTGGGTTAATTAATGTTTGTTTGTTAAATAATTTGCTTGTTTTATATGCTAAAATTTACTTGTTTTCTGTGTGGCCCACTCTCATATGAGCTATATCATTATAGATTGCTGCGTTAACTACATAATCCATGGGGGCAATCACTCCGTAAGATTCGGGCCCTCTTTCAATCACAAGAGGATCGGAAACATTTGGATCAAACATAAGGGCATTTGGCGTGACTATAAGTGTTCCACTGACTACTCCCTGTAAAAAAAATTATGCTTGTTTCGTTTTCCTCTGGTTTATTATTTAATAATTAATAAATTAAAAAATTACGCACTTGACCGTCAGTAATATGCCTGACATTTATTCTCAAGAATTTTTCCAAATGGGGCGATGAAGGTGTTCCCACCCTCTCAACATGCCCTGGCTTTGGAGAATTGACCCGCAATGTCTCCAGTATATCTGGAAGAAAATTCACTTTGAAAGTGGAAACTAATATGAAAATATTATAGGATTTTTTTGTTTACCCTCTTCATCTGTGTTGTCGCTCCTCTCTGTGCTTGCCGTCTGCGAAGCGTGATCTCCACCATCTTCGCCTTCCTGTTTTGCCTTCTTGGCCGATTTGTCCGGCACGCGTATCACCTGGCCTGGGAAAACTGTTCTCGAAGCGAGCCTGTTCAACTTGGCAAGCTCTGACGGGGTTGTGTCAAACCTTGCCGCTACTGAGGTCAGTGTGTCCGATGATTCCACCTGAAAAGAAAGAAAACTTGTGTAAAATATCCACGCATGTTGAAAAATTGATCCAATACCGTGTTGTAAGGCTCATAGAAAGTCTGGTATATAAATTGCACTAATGTCTGAAACATTTAAAGTTTTTCTACACTCTGTACTGTAAAGAACTGACGTCCACTTTTGGAGACCCACGATAAGGTCTATTTTACAACTATCAATTGAGATAAGAGCTTGTTTATAGTAGACACGTTAGTTCACAAGCAATAATTTCACAATTTGTTGTTGAGTTTTTAATGCAGTAATGTCTGCTTTATTAACTTGATTATTCAAAAAAAAATTTTTTTGACAACATATTGCACGACAAAACTGATGAAACAAGTTAACAGATAAACTTAAAGAATACTTAAGTTTATTTTGAACCATTCTGTGTCTATCGCCGACTCTAAAACGTTTAATTATAATCATACAGATAAACACTGCGCAATTTGGAAAAAAATGTTTTTAAACCAAATATCTAATGTCTTATCACTGTGAATTGTTCTTCCACTCACGCGCTATTTGTAAATGATAAAGAATACACCACCTCATGGGTCGAAACAAGAACTAATTCATTCCTGTCTTGCACCGAAGAGGGGAGTGTGAACAAGTTCTGTACACACCATCCTCAAAAGAATTAACGGTGTATTTTTAAAAATAAATTTCGACTTTCTGCCCACAAGCACATCATTTAAAAATATTTTCAAATATAAATCGTTCATAATTTTTCTTGGCGATGGTGATAAGGTCCCAATTACACTACAATGAAGCATACACTAACTATAAATCCTTCTTTTGGAAATGTTATATTATAAAAATTATATAAAGTCAAAACAAAAGGAGCTTTTATGCATTAAGATTGGAGAAAAAAGTAGGTTTCCTTTCTTAATTTGGAAATGCATTGCATTATAATATAATAATATTATATTCAAACTGATATAATATTCTATGTCCGATGGGACTTTCAGGTATGAACCAGAAAATCCTTTTCCCCATCAAATAAAACAGTGTTTCGCAAGGCTAAGTACCATTCTAAATTCAGTATACACATCCCGATACAGTACTCATCCAGGACTAATCTCTCCTATTTGGCAAAATGACCTTAGAAAAACCAAATTGCAAATAACCTTTGCTTTTGCCATATCATCTCCTCAAAACTACTACAATTCTGTTACTCTCCCAGCAACCAATGTCCGCTATTTGGGATTTTACATTGACAAAAGACTTACTCGGGACTACAAACCTTGATTGTAAAAACCGAAACTAAAAACCAATCCGCATGAATAGAATCAAACTGTGGGGTTCAATGAAGCGTTACAACCTCCAAAGAGTCCAGTTGTTACAGTCCAAAATCTTTCGAACCCAAGTTACCTACTTCGTATACAACTTTACTATCCACACATCACACTGATCTTGTGAACTTCAAGAAGCAGAAGACCCTTGACCCTCATCCCAACACCTTTCTCATGTAGAGTAATTCTGAATGTGGATTATAAACACTATAAAATAAATTTCTAAATATTTCACTTAGTTTAATTTTTCAAAATCCCATGCAGAAATGTCAGAGCAGTGATAACGCATCTGAAAGGAGGTAAATAAATCAAAAGATAAGAAATTTGTTGAAAAAAGTAAACACAAACCATTATGATGGCAAAAATAAAATCTTTGATAATTTGAATCTACTAAAAACAAAAACCAAAACAAAATATTTAACAATAAATAGGGTTTCTTTAATTTAAAGTGGTTGTTTTTAAACAGATTAAAACTTCAGACAGTTAGTATGTCTTGGAAGCTATTCTGACTCTGAACACTAAAAATAAAAAATTTCATGAAGGAAATTAGTTGATTTATTTAAACTGAGGGAATGAGTGAGTGAGAGAGAGGGAGAGAGAGAGAGAGAGAGAGAGAGAGAGAGAGAGAGAGAGAGAGAAGAAAGTGAGAGGATGAGAAAGGACAAGAAGATAGAGAAAAGAGAGAGGTAGAAGGAAAGAGAGTAAATTATAATCTTCTACAGAATGACAAAAAAAGAAGACAGTTACTTTATTAAAATACAATAAATACCTATTAATTTGATCTAAAACTTCAATAACAAAAGTAATTAGTGAAATACTTGAACCTAGAAGTACAAATAAATAAAACAACATCTATTAAAAGATTTTCTTGGAAAATTCCATAAAAATCAGTATGTGTATTCTATTTATAAATAACCAGGTTGAACAAAAACAGGACGGAATAGGGTTTAAAAATTTGATTTTTACGATATTACTGAGAAGTGGTGAACTGCCCTTTCATTTAATAATTTAGGTAAATGGAAAAGTTGACAAAGAACGAGAAATTACAGGGATGCTACAAGTCGAATTAAAAGAGCACAAAGGGTAATTTGACAAGCATTTGGGGAAGGCTGGAAAATCCATCGGTCCTGAAAAATTCAGTCTGTCCTAAACTTTAATAATGTTAACTCCTGACGTTACAATAAACTTAAAAACGGTCATTTAAGTTTTGGTAATATAGGTGAGGTGTTCAAAGAAACGGGTTAAAAAGGAGGTAGGAGTATTTGCAAAAGGGCATGAAATGACTGTTGGCATTTAATGGCTTATCACAGCCAAATTTCTTCCTAAACAACAGACATATTAATCATTTTGAAGAGAAATTCTGTAATAGTGTAATTCAAAACATTCCATGGAAAAATTCACAAATGATTTGCCAAAACTATTTTTTTTTTAATTATTATTTTCTATTCCACCTATTTCCATGGGTGCATCTGGATCTGAGTGAATTTGTAGATGTAGATCATATTTAAAGTAGTACAGGCTAATTATCAGCGGAAACGTTCATTCAGGTTAAAGTTACAATCTCACAACCATATTATCAATACCAGCGCAATAATCTATAATTTTCAATAGCGCCCAAGATCTATGTACTATTTAATTCATGAATTTGATCATCATTGTAAACAGATTGATCAAAGAGGGCGAGTCATAATCTATTTATACATCTTCAACCTTAAAATGTAATATTTTCAGTAATAAAGCACTGTAATAATTTATTAATTTCATATTGTTTTTACTGTACATCATTGAATAGTGCTAATATTTAAAACTGTCAAAGATAAATTTATTTATGGATATTTTCAGTCAATATAATCAATAGTATTTATATTAAAAAAAAAAAAAAAAAAAAAAAAAAAATCAAGCAAAGAAATAGACAACATAAAATATTTTCTATAATAAAGCACCGTAATAATTTATTAATTTCACCATATTACAATACATCTGTGTATTGTTTTCCTGAATAGTCCCAATATTTAAAACTATCAAAGATAAATTTATTTATGAAGGGTTTCAGTCAAAAAGCTCGATAGTACTGATGTATAAAAATTTTTAATGAGGCAATAAACAGAATAAAATATGTATTATTATTTACATAGAGCACCACAATAATTGAGTTCGTCAATGTTAACCGTATTTATTGGCGTTTCTTACATTTTCAATTCCAATATAGTCAACTTTCCTACATTAAATATGTATGGAGTTTTTCTGTCAAAAGGCTCAATACACTAATGAAAAAAAAGTACAAACAGGCAAAGAAACAAATAAAATAAAATATGCAGTATATTTCATGTACACAAAGTACCTTAATAATTTATTAATTTCACCGTTAATTTTTAATCGTACATATATCATTAGTGTGTATTACATTTCCATGCATATTATACATACTTAAAACTTTTGAAAAAAAATATTTATGGAGTATTTCAGTTAAAATACACAGTAGAACTAATGTAAAAAAAAGATAATCGGGGAAAGAAGCAATCAAAATAAAATAGATAATAATCTACATAAATTACAGCAATAATTTATTAATTGCACCGTTAATTTTGAACTATCGTCTATCAATTTATGTGCGTGTTACCAGAAAGAAGAAATGGTCTGAAACTAGCACATTTTCCAGTTGATATTTTTGTATGATTTTTTTATTACGTCTGTGCAGGAACTTTGCATGGGTTTGCCTACTTAATTTTAAAGTTAAGTTTCTGCTGTCACCGTCTACGTACATCTTTTTTGAGGAAGGGAGAATTGTTACTATTCGCCTCTGGGTTTTATCCTTAATAAAATACGTTATAAACTTCGATTTTATTTTTACAAATTATAGGTTTAAAGGTTTTTAAAGAGGGCGTGAAAGAAGGGTTATTAAAAGAAAAAACAAAGCAAAAACCTTTCTTGTTAAACAAAACTAGACTACATCTTCTGGTTGAAATTAGACTTTTATACAAAAATAAGGTAAAAAAAGGCAAAATTACAGCTCTAAAGAGTAATGTGATACCGAATTCAAGTGAATTAAAAGAATGGAAAAATTAATAGGCCCCACCTTCAGAAAAAGCTGATTGTTCTCATGGAACAATTTGCCCATTCTGTCATTGTCAGTAATGATATTAAAGAGTTCTTGTGAAAGGAAAGCAGGGTAGTCTGAACCGATTCCTGGGATCGCGTTTGACAATCACAACATAACCTTTTGCAGATGGCCTACTTGGCCGGCATCCCCTCCGCTAGATGTTGTTTTTGCCGTTTGCCGCCGGGTGAGACCCAACATTCAACAACATAAACAACCTACCACGTGCTTTTGAAAACGTTTACCATTTTATGATCCAGTCTTTTCTCAGATCGATTTTCCGCGTATAAATGTATTTAATGAGACTGAAAGCTTATTCTTACAGATTATTAAAATTTAATTAACATTTTTCTACCTCTTTTCCTAAACCTTTGTCTCTCGGGAACTGTCTTCGATCAAATAAAACATTTATCAATCTTAGTTACCGAAATAAATTGTGGTATAACATAAATAAACGAAAAGAAAGTAGTAAGGAAAAGAGTTCCACTCACTTAGTTCGCAAGCAGCTACAGAAAAAATCTAATAATCTATGAATATATTGGACAAATATAATTTTATAATTTTTAGTCAGCTTTTCATATTTATTTTCGTCT